CGTCGCGAAGGAGAGAATGAAGGAATACTTTCGTCGGATTTACGGCAGGTAGTCGTACGGCAGGTTTATCGCCAGTCACGCAGTCGGATTTAATTACTCGGCGCAGTAGGGAAGATCGAAGAAAGAGGCGACCACTTGGGATCTAGAGGAACACTCACGCCCCTACGTTGAAAGTGGTATGAGTCACGCCCCGTAAGATCATCAAACAATTTGCATGAAAATGCATGTGCCTCCTACTTTTCCAACTTCATGAATTATTCACACGCCGAAATCGCATTAAAATTACGTTTGGGGTTAGAAAAGGCATCGGGAAAGGTCGACTCGACAAAGAATTGGATCCTTTTTGCAAACGCGGAAACCCTAAGGCACACTCGAGATACGAGAGTGACATTGCAAAAATTAGATAAAAAAGTCGTACCGATTTTCGGTACGTGTATCTCAAATTGCGAGTGAGCGATTGATTTAGAGCTCCTCAAATATATTATTTTACTTTCTGCACCGCAAAGTTTTACCCCGAAATTCATCTGACTTTTAAAGAAAGCCCGAATCAAGTGTAATCAAACAGATAATATTCACGTGAAATTATTAACGTCGAATAATTGACTATGCGTGACCGCTATCTCTATCTTCTTTCTTTCTCGCGGATGCGTCACGTGGCAAGACGTCGTGGAAAGCGGGCGTGTCGCGCGAGTTTTATTCACGAAACGTTCTGACAACTTTATTCTCGAACTTGCTACGGGGAGAAAATAACTTTCCGGAGAACAGATTCGAATTCGAGCCGTGCGCTACAGAGAAATTGGATTTACGCGCTCGCAGTTTCAATCTTCCACTGACGGTCGCAGGACGCATGAGAATTTAACTCGACATAGCGGATACTGTATGATTCTTTCTCCATATGATGTATATATAGATATAACGTGCTAAAATCACCGCGTAAAAAATTGCGAAATATGCAAATAACGCCGCGTTGCCACATTCTAACAATTATTTTAACATAACGTCCTTGATATAATGTGGAATTTCCGCAATTCTATTTTTCTAATCTATTTTATTAATAAAAAAAAGAAAAAGGAGATAACCACTCTCTTCATGTGCTCGTTCACGCATTTAAAACCGAGAGAGAGAGAGAGAGAGAGAGAGAGAGAGAGAGAGCGTGCAATTTCTGACATACTTTATATATATCCGACGGTAGATAGGTCCGTACTATCTGGTAGCCGAGCTGACGATAGCGCTGGATTTACTTTTACTACCTCATTAATGTTACACATTTTATTACCGGCCGTCGTTTTGCTACCCTCGCTCCTACCCCCGTCAGAACTCCCTTATATAGCAAGCTACTACTTCGCTGCCAGAGTTTACGATCGGAAGAGGCAAGAGAAGAAACGAGTATGAGCTTGGCAGGCGCCATTTTGAGTAGATTTACCGTTTCAGAATTCAGTCGAGATGATTTCGTGAATATTTAACTCGTGGCGTTCTTATTATTACTATGTGATAATGTATTACTATATGATAGAATATTAATAGCGCGTTATAAGAAGCCGCGTCCTGTTATCATCATCGCGTCATGTCTTCTTGTCAAGCTATAGATGACGCAAGTCTGAGATTTAATTTCACATGAATCATCATTAATTGCATCTTACGTAATGTCTTCCTAGAATTTTGTCGCGAGGACAAATTTCACGTCGGGTATTATCGTCGCGAATTATGAATCGCCCAAGGCCAGTTTTATGCACCGATACTCAGACAGAGATCGTCGGTAGAATGTAAATTTCACGCGAGAGAATTACGGACACGGACGCGGGAATACCCTTTTAGGTCTTATCACCCATGATCGATAACCGCTCAGTGAAACATCCGGCGGAGACGGAAACAGTCGGTGGAAGGTCGGTGGATGAATGTCTTCGTGCTCGCTCGGCGGGGGTTCCGCAGGATTTAGCGTGCGGGACTTCTGGCGCTTCTATACTGTCGCCGTGCGGGATGGGGTTCGCGACGAGAAGGGCCGATTCGCAAGGGAGGCCGAACGAAAGCTCGAAGGAAGCGGACGGAAGTTCGCTCCGTCGTAGGTGCATTACATTTTCCTTATCGCGGTAGGCATTGCGACGAGACGCTACCCGCGGGAATCGAGAATGGACCCGATTGCGAATTCTTAAATCTATTTTCGGCGAAACGGGGGGAGTGCGCGCGCTGCGCGAGGGATATTACGATAATATTACGATTTAATACGATAAGTTCCGATGAGATATATATATATATATATATATATAACGGTTTGCTCAAAGCAATAGCGATATATTCTATTATCGTGAATATGAAAGTATTCACCGCGCGTTCAACTTTCACATTTCTTTTCCTAACAGCGTTCTATCAATGAGTTTGTATCACACGGAGAAAAAAGATTTGATTGAAAGAACGAATTTTCTGGTGAAATATAAACAATTCAGAAATTCCGATTGAAAGTACCAGAAATCTGTTTAAGTTAACTAGAAACCTTGATAACTAAAGGCTCGTCTACAATAGCTGTAAGAGTAAGGCTGTAAGGTTGTAACGTAAGCTGTCAGCGAATGAAAATATTTCATTTCATGTCTTGCAACCTTACAGCTTTACTCTTACAGCTAATGTAGACGAGCCTTTAGACTGAATTCTCATAACTCTAATCGGAATTTCTGAATTCTTCGCTCGTATTTCACCAAAGAATTGTTTTATTCAAATAAATATTTCCGCGTGCATATAATATAGAAGATAGATATAGATAAATTTCCGCGTAAGTATTATACAAGCAATTGCAGATATATAAATTAGAGATATGTCACACATATGTATAAGTGTGTATAAGTGTGTAGACATGATATGCAGAGATAAACATGTATGAGCGATTGTTCAAGTATTAAAATATAAATTCAAGTTTTCATGTATATAATCATCCGAATTATTCGGGTAACACGTGCAAAAGTAAGGACAATTAATTCACTAATTGACTATATATTGCAGTTTAAGGCTGTTTAAGACTGCCAAATTTAGATAATTTAAATGTATTTAGGTGATAGAATGTAATTACGTAGATAAAATTCTGTGCGTAAAAAAAACTGTATATAAAGCATTCTGTTTTTATTTTTAAATAAAATTATTTTTCACATAAAAATATACACATTTTTTCTTTTCGCATTCCTAAAAGATAGTACACAATAGTCCTTACTTTTTTTCGTTAAAAATCAATACGATTTACGCCTATGCATGCACTATGTTATTACAATGCTCTGTGAGCATGAGATCATCACTCACTATTTCGTGTTGAAATTTGTCGAGGTCCAACAAAGTTGATACTGACACATCCAGCCAAGTTCGCCGATGAAGCTCCATTGCTGCATCTCCGACTGCATCCCGCTCTCTGTATCCGTTATCTCCGTTGCATTTATTTTTATCTTCGTTCTATTATTTATCTCCGTTTCACTTATTTTATTTCACTCGCGACGCGATATTCACGCTTCAACAGTGCAACAAGTATTTCGTGATTCTCGAAACTTTTTTAACGAAGGACGAAAATATATACGGATTGATTCAATGAATTAACTTCGATGAATGTTTATTCTGTACAGTACAAAAAAATTCCAGAAGCGCAATCACGATTCATAAGTCGCGTGTAAACTAGCGTGAGAACTGGAAACTGTGACATTTTCGAGGAAAACGAAAACAATATACCGTTTCGCGGCTTTATAGAAGAAGAACGTTCTCATTTCATAGCTTTATAAATGAATCACGTTCCCGTTTCATGAAATGATGTCGTATGTTAATGTGATATATTCGCGGTGTGAATCACGCGTAAAAGAATGCAAATTATATATTAACCGATCGCGTTCAATGGCATTACGAAGGTAGCAAATAGCGTGAAATTCTTATACATGATGAATTTATAATACTTTTGCGAAATTTTTCCGCAATATTCGGGTGGAAATATATTTGCAATATATACATATATATTTGCGTAGACTACTTAATATAATTATCGTGGTATTTATTTATCATATATTAATATAAATTTTATTCAATGCAAGATTTGAATCTAAAGTTAATAATTGCGTGTAAAGCAAGTGTAATTAATGGAGATTCAAAACTATAAATCGTGATGACTGTCACATGTATTAATGTATTCACAAATCAAATATGATATTATTTGATCCATTTATGAACATAATTGCAATTCAAATATATGCTTAAAAAATTGAAGATTCGACACCGTTAATATAATTATTTACATTTAATACAAACGAGTTTGCCAATCTTCCAGTTTGAAATAATCACGAATTATTTGAAATTTCTATCTGTTTAAAGAAAATAATCTGATGTAATCTCATAACGTAGATATCAGAAAATAAATTGTAATTGATACGATTATCAAATTTAATGACGTATACGCGAATAAAATATCATTGCGACTATCGTAGAAATTAAATCTCCAGGATTAAAGAAATGCGATTGAAAAAGTTATTGACGCGAAAAGAATTTTGCGAATGTAACGTGTAGTCTCGTCAATATTGATGCGTGACAGCTTTTACACATTTTGAAACATTTTACAAAGTTTCAAGGTCGAATTTTAATTCGACATTATTCTGACTGAATCATGTCAGAAATTTAAACCATCGAACAAAATGATAACATAGAAACAGTAATAATTGTTTGTACATTTCAAGGAATATGTTCAGAAATTGTATTCATACATCAAAAACATTTAAACTCTGCTTATTTCTTCCAAGATTTTTAGAAGACATTATATTATATGAAAATATAATAGTTTTGCATGAGACAAAGTTATGATAAATTTTATATTAATGATAATTAATGACAATTAATGATATTAATCCTAAATATATTCAATTTAATAAACAACATTTCGTTCGATGGTTAGTTACATGGAGCAACTAATATACAATGTAAATCGTATTGATTTTAACGATATTTCTCGGAAATAAAACCACCACCTAAAATCTCTGTTTTCTTTTACTCACATCAAACCAAAGTCGACCATATGCTGCAAATTCTGAAACAAGAAAGGTTATTTTGCACATTAGATTTAGGAACTCGGAGTTTAACACACAAGTGCTCTTAAATACGAAAGAGTTAATACTTTACGGTCGTATTTTGTGACATTTCAACGGTTACATTCTCATTTTCGACCGTAAAGGATCAAATAGTGGACAACAAAATAGAATCTACCTTCGAGCCGACTTTGAACAGCCTGAACCGGCACCTCCGGTGCTGCATCTGCAACCACTCTATTGAAGGTCGCACGCTCCGCACCAGATCTGAAACAAAAATTATAGATTGCCCAATTAGACACAGTGATGGAAGATTTGCATTGCCCCGAAAAATTAAGAACACTAAGCTGCCGACTTTATTTATACTTTTATGCTGAATGGGAATAGAAGATAGTGATCACCATTCGTCACGTAGTAATAATATATATATATTCAGAAATCAGTATATTATCGGCTGTTATTTAATTTTTATCATTCATAGACATGCAAGTACTTACGCGATTACTTTCGATCAATTTACAATAATTGGTAATAAAAGATGATGTCGCGCACTTAATGTGACCAAAACTGTTACGAGTACGAACGCGCTATGTATTTATGCGTCGCGAAGGTCATGCGACTTATACCTGCCGTACCGCGCGACAAAGCATCCTTTGTTTACTCCTCCAATCTATCTCATATTCCGTTTATCTTTCTTATAATCTCGATTTGTTATCTTCTACGCGTAATCGTATTCCTACATCAATTCCCATACCATTTGTATCGATTATACCGATACCTCGCGTTTATTACGATTTAATAATTAAAAAAATTGCGATATAATTATAACAGTCTAAAGAGCAACGTAACGTTTTGTAAAATTAGTTATGCATTGAATATATAAAACTATATTATATATGATTATTATAAAGTGTGCTTTTTTGAGATAATTTACTTTGAATGAAAGAGGTAGAGAGGAAAAACGGTGAATGAAAGAGGTAGAGAGGAAAAAGAGTGAGAAAGAAAGGTGAAAAAGAAAGAGAAAGAGAAGGAAAATAGACATAACAAGCTTGAGACCAAGAAAGGGGAGAAGAAAAGAAAGAGGAAGCGGCAAAGAGGAGAAAACACTGCTCAGACAAATAAAAGAGGTTGCACTAATTAAAAATTTCTGCAGTATACTGCTGCGATTAAAGAAGTTAGGTTACAAGAATGTACCGATAGAGTGTTACAAGAGCGCGGCAGTAAAGTTAGGTTAGGTTATAAACTTTTGAACATATTAAGTATACGTTAAGCTGTATAAACGTTTAAAGACGGAATCCACTTATCGTTTGAGTAGTGTATTATAATAGGCATCGAATTGGTTTGTTAAAAATGTAAAGATACTAACTGTTATAATCGGCTGCGATCGATTTCACATTTCTGGCGGAGCGCGCAATCCGCACGGCGTCGGGTCGGGAGGCAAAATGGACGTTCGAATGTCGCGTATGTATCTCGCGGTTTACGACGCGTCAGGTCACGCGATGAAAACATCATGTGTTTACTCGCCCAGTCTCATATTCCGTTCATTCATGTTATAATGTTATGCTTTTTTATCTGTTTCTACGCGTAATCGTATTCCTATATCAATTTCCATTCATTTTCCAATTTCTATACATCGTACAAATACCGCGCCTTTATCATGATTTAATAATTAAAAGACTACGATGTAATAATTATAACAGACTAAACTGCAACGTAACGTTTAGTACAATTTATTATGCATCGCTTTTGTGAAATTACATATGAAAGTGAGGCATAAGATAATTCATATGAAGTAAGAAAGAAGGAAGGAAAATGTTCTAGAAAGAGAGAAAGAGGGAGGAAGAAAGGAGAAAGGAAGGCAGATAGAGAAAGAGGGAGAGGGAGAGGGAGAGGGAGAGTGAGAGAGAGAGAGAGGGAGAGAGAGAGAGAGAGAGAGAAAAAAGAAGGCAGAGAATAAGGATAGAACGATCTTGAGATTGAAAAAAAGAAAGGGAAGAAGGAAGGAGCGATAAAGAGAATAAAATATTGCTCGAACAAACAAAAGAGATTATACTAATTAAAATTTCCGTAATATACTTTTGCAGCTAGAATTAGGTTATAAGAATAAGTGAACCGGTGGAGTGTTGTAAGAGCGCGATAGTAAATGATGAAGTTAGGTTATAAACGTTCGAACATATTAAGTATACGTTAAACTGTATAAACGTTTAAAGACGGGATCTACTCATTGTTTGAGTAGTGTATTATAATAGGCATCGAATTGGTTTGTTAAAATCAGTAGAGATACTAACTGTTATAATCGGCTGTGATCGATTTCACATTTCTGGCGGAGCGCGCTCGATTCGCACGGCGTCAGGTCGGGAGGCAAAATGGACGTTCGAATGTCGGGTATGTGCCTCGCTGTTTACAACGCGTTCGTTCGCGCGATGAAAGCATCGTTTGTTTACTCGCCTAACTTTATACTCTGTTTATCTTCGTATACATGAAATAACACTTGACAACAAGATGCCTTTATTTTTGAAACGGTGCTTTGTTAGAATATTTAATTGATTTGTTTCAATTCGTAAAAATATATTACCTATCTCAATTAATTACGGTCAATTCATCGCGCGTGCAACAGCGCGTGGACCGCATCCGATGCATGTTCAAAAACTGAAACGGCCGTCAACTTACGCTCAGTCCTGCGTATGTCGTACTCTCGATAGTTATCGATAGTTACACCATTGATCGCTCGCAGTCACCGGTACATCAAATATATATCATTCTTTTTGTGGTTAAAATACAATTGAATAAAAATGTTGTAATACTACTATTACTGGAGTTTACGTAATTTGTTTACAAGAAGGAACAATTTATACCGATGAAAATTGGTAAATGCTAATTTATCACATATTTAATTGTGATTATTTAATTTGCTACAATTTACAAGAAGACTTCCACACAATTGAGATTTAATAATTAAAATGCAATTATCATACAATTATACACAAATGTAATTATCACTAGATAAAATTTGTGAAAATCGTGAAACTTTGATTCCAGGATAAAGTTATTTTTATTATGCAATCATGATTGTATTAGCATCTCTCTACGATCTATAATGGTAAAGTAGTATTGATTACAACATATTCGTACGAGATTGAACATCGACACAAATATATGGTGATTAGCTTTTGTGTTTTTTGTCAACAATTTCCCATATAAATGGAATATAAATATGAATATTTTTTATAACAATACAATTAACAGCAACCATTGTTGCACGAAATTTTATTATTTTTAATAATGTGTCTTGTGCTACAATATTGTGCTATTTCCCTTTACAATACAATTTACGTTACAAAGTTCCATTTTATCGATTATATTTAACTGGTAAATTCATACGTTTATTCTACGTTAATTTTATTTGTTTCCCATTTCGTATTATTATTTGCTTTATGTCCGCGTGTTTACCGCTGAATTTGTTAGGACTTTTGATGCTTTTATATCTTTTGTACTCGTGAAGCATCGAGTGCAGATCACGCAGTAGCTAAGCCGATTAATCGCGCCGGAAACAGAGAAGTAAAACTCTTATTGTGTTACGGCGATTGGATTTATCACGATCACTCGTAAATGAGGGAATTAAGAAAATATGATATTGTATTACACAATGGCGAAATGCCACGCGCGATTCTCCGCATTATAAGGTGTCTAGCGATTGTACAGCCCGTAAAGGTATTGATCGTTACGACGGAGTTGTGCGTAGGTGCAGAAGCCATACACTTTACGACTTTACACGGGCAACAAGAGTTTGCATTAATAAAGCCCCTTTCGGGGCCCAACGCCGAGGCGTTTATGAGCTCCCCGATGTTCAGCCGATGCGAAGATGTTATAAATCCATAAATTCAGGTCAGAGTACTTAAAGTAATTTTACGGGAGGGTTACACGGGGAGTTTCGCCGTGTTTTATGCTCTTCCGTATATTTTCATACGTTACGATGAAGCATGCCTGAAAATGTGTTTTAATTTACGTTTAAATTTACATTGGTGTCGTGTTTGCGCGATCATCTCAGGCGATTCGTGCGATGACAAATCAAATGTAACTTAAATTACAATGTATACATACACATTGATATGTGATATTCCATTTGAAATCATATTGTTCTTATTGTAGCAAACAAATATTCTGTGTAGTTAAAATTCTGTGTATGTTACGACACAAATAATTGCGAGAAATAATTACGATTTATAATAGTTTATGAATAATCAGGAAGCTTTCTTCTTATAATAATGTCTTGAGGTGACAATTCTATCATAGATCGAGATATTGTTAGCGAGAAATTTCGTAGTATAGATAACAATTGAAAAAATTCCACGATATTATCGTGGAACTTGGAACGAATACCATATGTTGAAAAATCATTCGACCGGATGTTTCAGCAATTTCGAACTCGCGATATGTCCGCGACGAAATCGACGCGGTTGGACCGGGGTGAACGAAGGGTGAAGCGCCCTGTTTCCATTTCTGCTTCACATAAATGATTATCGAGATGGGTTGTAGCGAAATTCCCGCGTGACTGGACATCGATGTAACCGTCGATGGTGCGTGCGGAAGTCTCCTGGTCATCTCCCATGGGTGGGTCCAAAGACGTTGTAACGGTAACGCCAGTCACCCTTCTAAGCGGTGATCCCCGAAGCGTTCCTTTATATCACCGAAGCGCATCCCCCTGAGATACGTGACGCAGATGGAGGGACACGGCCGCAATATCTTCATCCCTTTTCGCAGGAGCGCGCGGTGGAGGACATGCTTCTCTTCCTGCGACTGTGTTCTCTCGCGCCCTCAGGAAATTTATATTTTATCGAATCGAAAGTACCGCGTCGAGAGGTCCGCTTTGTGCGGAAAATGCTCTCGTTGCGATCATCGTCGCAGGATCATAGCGCAATCGTTCGATGAAATCGAATCGGCTGGTAGGATGTGAAATTTCGCAGCGACGTTCCGTTTGAACGTCATTGAGCGAATTTCTTGTGAGATGTAGGCCGCGCCGACGATTTTCTCGATGTGTGATCATTGGTCGAGATCCCAGGTTGTCATTGTCGTCATTTTTAATGAACTCACATTTGCATACGACACAATATCGGTCCGTGAACCTGTAAGATAATTGAAAAACCGAGTTAGAAAATGAAGATAAACTTCTAAAGTCTCGTCAACATATTCTAGTTTATTTTTTCTACAAAAGTTCTTTCTCTACAAAAGATATTAAGAAGAAATTATACATTTTGTTTTCGGAAATCTTGTTGATGCTTTCATTACTTGCTTGTAAGATACTCTTTAACTTTAGAGAAAGAGAGAGAGAGAGAGGGAGAGAGCTAGAAGAAGCGAACCACCTCGCTTCTTCTTCGATTGGTTCGAAAGATTGGAATCGAAGTTGGGGCAGCTTCTGTACCCGGTTCGAGTGATTTGTCGTAATGTGTTAATGTATGATCAATCTGACAAAGCGTGGCCGTATATAAGAAACTTTATCCTGACCTACGGCTTATCGCGTAAAAGACGGCGCATTTCGGGAATTCTACATTGCGCAAGAGGGGTTGCCAGCCCCTTAAGACCATAACGTTTATGTAGGTGGCGGGTTTCTCCTAAAAGGGGGAGAGATACGCGCCATACGGTAACGAGAAAACGTGGGCCACAATACCGCGCCCAAGATCGCCGCTGAATCGAGCTTATTTATTGTTTACGCCGGGATAATGTCGGCTCTCCGCATCGCTGTTTATGTAAATATCTCTTGGCACAACCGTGACTACATCATCCATGTCCGATAAGATGAACTGGATAAACGCTCCCCCACTCGTTAGGAACTTTGTACGCGGTTCCTTCCTTCTCGGAACTCTCCGCGCTTTGCTTACTTGTTATCCTATTCAATGAAGGAAGATGGTTAAGGAGTCTGTATGCGAGTGGAGAAATCCCCCTAGATAATCCCCCAGACTTTCACAATGATCAAATTCACCTTCGTGCAACGCGTACTTTTCCAGCTGTTTTCGTTATGTTTCAAGATAACGAGCGACGCGCATACCGTCGTGAATACGTATATCGGTTTATCGGTATATGTTAATGATTACTCTCCCCTGTTGGATTATAAAAATACTTTCCTCGAGCTCTCGCGCGTTTCTCCGATCGAGAACAGCACCGACGCGAGTCTCAGTCTCAGTGTTAGTGACTAATTCTTAGCTTGACAATTATAACTTGACGAACATATCTGATTACTCGTCAACCTATAACTGCACCTGCTTTATGCAACAAAAACTACACGGCACACAAGCAAGTGAATAACAATGAATACGAATCTATAATTAATTATGCTCCCAATCAAAGATGATAAATAATTTAGAAATATCAAGGAATCTAGACCAAATTCCCAAGTATTATTTCGCGACCAAATTCAGTTAGAATCATTGGAATCAAGTCCCGCAGAATTTGCAAGGTTAATGCAAAATCCAAATTTTGACTCGGGAAGCGCACGGGTGTCGGCGACTGCACCCCTTAACTCTTTTACTCTCCCTTGTAAAGCAAATCTGACGACTGAGCCCGACACGAGTAGCAATCGCACGAAGCGACCACGTCACACATTGTCTGTTGCTGTATCACGAGCGGCGGCATCATCCCCGGACGCTCGCTTCCACCCCGGTCGGTCGTTTTCACCATAGCGAGAAGCGGCTCGACTCTCGCGGGGGTGGAAGGTGAGCGAACGGGCTGGGCTGGGTGGCAGCGTCGGCGGGTGGTGAGGCGCAGTGCTGGCGAGGCCCCCGAGCTTTCGTTTCTGGAGCAGACGAATCGATGCTCGTTGCCCGTCCTCCCCCTGCAACGAGTTCAATGTCTCGCCCGGGCCGGCCGTAGCCCTCGCGGTCGTGGGTCGTGGCCGTGGCCGTCGGACGGAACGCACCCCCGTCATCCGGCCCACGCGCTGCCGCCACCGCCACCGCCACCCCCTGCCGCAGCCGCCGTCGCCGCCATCCCCCCATCGGCACCACCACCACCACCGCCGCCGCCGCCGCCGCCACCGCCGCTGCCGTCGCCGCCGCGCGGCCAACCCTCGCTCGCTCGTGCTCCGTGCGCCGCGATGTTTGCCAGGCGTTTGTCACCGTCGAGAACAAAGTCTGCACTCTCTCTTTCCCTCGACGACGACGACGACGTAGGCGGTGGCCTACGAGTCGACGTGCACCCCGTCGCACTCCGCTCTGGAATTATTACGGCGCGACTCGCGCTGATATCTCGACGTCTGGCCGGCGTTACTCGCCGCTCGGAAGTGCGGCCTGTCCGTGCTTAAGCCTGGCATTATTGAAGGAGGATTACAGCGTGCCCGTACCCAGCAGCGGTAGCAGCTTGAAATCCCGTCGCGTCATTCTGCTGGAAATGAAAACGTATAAAAAGAAGAGAGAAGAACAATAACGTCACTTTTCAATAGCGCGCGCTACGGATCAATATGTTTTTATGAATTTAGGAGAACGGCCGCTGTATATACCTTAATTTCTAACGAACTCGTGTCGCCGTGCGGAAATATTGCCGGCTCGCTGGGAAGGTTTGCTCGCTCTCTACTTCGGCTTATGATAAGTATCCTCAGCTTCGGTGTACATAAGATATGCGTGAGAAATTGCATATGCGATACGATAAAAGTTTTTCCATAGTGCGCGCGCGAATCGAGAGAAGGGTGAGAATTTTTTACAACCGCCGGATCTTGAGACGTAGCGGGGTGGAAAGAAATGGCACCACGTGGGTGGACCTCGAATCCCGATTCGATTCGGTCCATCGATGTGAATAATACATACCATTAGGACAGCTAGAATCGCTTCTGAAGCGTACGACTCGATCTCTTCGCGGTATAAACTACGGTGCAGAGAAAGGATATTGATATGATTTGAGTGTTTCACTGATTCGATGCTACGACTTCGCGGCCTGGGGAATCGATATAAAAGCATCAACCCCTATAAATTCAGCGATAACCGCGCGAGCATAAAGAAAATAATATACGGAAGGGGAAACAAATAAAATTAACGTATAAAATAACTGTATGGATTTACTGGTTACGATAAAATGAAACTTCGTAATACGAAACACACATCAAAAGCGAGAGTTTCACAGAAATTGCGATGTCACGGCAATAATGCGTACATAAAAACGACAATATTTTACAACGGTACTCGTCATCAAAAACTGTATTGTTACGAATTGTTACAAATGAAATTATATTATTTTCTTAATTTGAAAAAATGTATGCACTTGAAGTAAGATCCCTGTTTACATGATTACATTTGTATACATGAGTATATAAATTTTAGTTCTGCTTTAAATCTATTATTTATATAAATTTCCTTTCGAACTTAAAGGGGAAATATTTTCATAACCTATGAGGCCTATGAGGCGAACTTACCGAGAAGAAGGATAGCCCTGATTGAAATGTAAAAACTCATCTGAGACCGACATTCCTTTTATGAATCTCTAATTAGTCGGTAATTTATAATATTTATTTCATGCATATGTAATAAGTCAAACCACTCAGCTGAGTAACGGCCCATGAACTTGTAGTAGGTTATGATTTTCAACTACACCAGCAAAATACCGGCTAGAAGCGGAATCTATAGAATAGAATCGTAAAGTCCTAAGACGTAAGCTCGTAAGAAAATTGATTTGACCAATCACAATTGCTTATTCTTCGACCGCAAGGAGAAACATCGACTGCGATTGGCCAATTTCGATACGAGCTTATGCCTTAAAACTTTATAATTTCTATTGTGGATCCCGCTGCAAATAGTTATTTATAGTCGTAATTTATATTTAAGCCTTAAGTCCATCTTCAGATGCTTAATAGCCAATAAGACGACTTGTATATCATCTAAAGATAAACTGAAAACAGTCTCAGAATCCTCTTTTTAATATTGGTCCATTATACACAACTGCAAAGATCTGTTGCTTTAAAAATACTCTTTTTTAAGAAAAATATGATAAATATTATAAAGCGTATTGGACAATTTAGTATTACAACATAATACATGCAAAATTTTTATCATAAATATAGAAGGTAACCTAAGGATATATCGTGGTGTAGTAGTGCGTACTCGTTGCGCGAGAGGTCGCTCAGTGTTCATCTTTAAGGTACGTACGCGACAATGTAGCGGCCATTTTGACTCCCGACTTGGCGCCGAACGAATTGCGCGCTCCGCCAGAAATGTGAAATTAATCATAGCCGATTATAACAGTTAGTATTTCTAATAATTTTAGCAATTTAATTAAATATTATCATAATATACTACTGTAACAATAAATGCATCTCGTCTTTACATGTTAATTTCGCTTAATCGCATCTCAAGATGTATGAACAGTATTTTCATAACCTACTTCTAACTGCAGAAGTATATTACGGAAATTTTAATTAGTATAATCTCATTTGCTCGTTTGAGCAATATTTTATCCTCTTTTTGGCTTCCTCCTTCTTTCCTTCCTCTTTTTCGATCTTCAAATCTTTTTCTGTCTTCCTTTCATCTCTCTTCCTCTCTCTCTCTCTCTCTCTCTCTCTCTCTCTCTCTCTCTCTCTCTTTCTCTCTTTCTCTCTTTCTCTCTTTCTTTCTATCTTTCTTCCCCTTCTTCCTTTTTTCTTCTTTCTCTCTTTCTAGAACATTCTCCTTCTTCATATGAATTAGCTTATTAATTTTTGAACATGCATCGGATGCGGTCCACGCGCTGTTGCACGCGCGATGAATTGACCGTAATTAATTGAGATAGGTAATATATTTTTACGAATTGAAACAAATCAATTAAATATTCTAACAAAGCACCGTTTCAAAAATAAAGGCATCTTGTTGTCAAGTGTTATTTCATGTATACGAAGATAAACAGAGTATAAAGTTAGGCGAGTAAACAAACGATGCTTTCATCGCGCGAACGAACGCGTTGTAAACAGCGAGGCACATACCCGACATTCGAACGTCCATTTTGCCTCCCGACCTGACGCCGTGCGAATCGAGCGCGCTCCGCCAGAAATGTGAAATCGATCACAGCCGATTATAACAGTTAGTATCTCTACTGATTTTAACAAACCAGTTCGATGCCTATTATAATACACTACTCAAACAATGAGTAGATCCCGTCTTTAAACGTTTATACAGTTTAACGTATACTTAATATGTTCGAACGTTTATAACCTAACTTCATCATTTACTATCGCGCTCTTACAACACTCCACCGGTTCACTTATTCTTATAACCTAATTCTAGCTGCAAAAGTATATTACGGAAATTTTAATTAGTATAATCTCTTTTGTTTGTTCGAGCAATATTTTATTCTCTTTATCGCTCCTTCCTTCTTCCCTTTCTTTTTTTCAATCTCAAGATCGTTCTATCCTTATTCTCTGCCTTCTTTTTTCTCTCTCTCTCTCTCTCTCTCTCTCTCTCTCTCTCTCTCTCTCTCACTCTCCCTCTCCCTCTCCCTCTTTCTCTATCTGCCTTCCTTTCTCCTTTCTTCCTCCCTCTTTCTCTCTTTCTAGAACATTTTCCTTCCTTCTTTCTTACTTCATATGAATTATCTTATGCCTCACTTTCATATGTAATTTCACAAAAGCGATGCATAATAAATTGTACTAAACGTTACGTTGCAGTTTAGTCTGTTATAATTATTACATCGTAGTCTTTTAATTATTAAATCATGATAAAGGCGCGGTATTTGTACGATGTATAGAAATTGGAAAATGAATGGAAATTGATATAGGAATACGATTACGCGTAGAAACATATAAAAAAGCATAACATTATAACATGAATGAACGGAATATGAGACTGGGCGAGTAAACACATGATGTTTTCATCGCGTGACCTGACGCGTCGTAAACCGCGAGATACATACGCGACATTCGAACGTCCATTTTGCCTCCCGACCCGACGCCGTGCGGATTGCGCGCTCCGCCAGAAATGTGAAATCGATCGCAGCCGATTATAACAGTTAGTATCTTTACATTTTTAACAAACCAATTCGATGCCTATTATAATACACTACTCAAACGATAAGTGGATTCCGTCTTTAAACGTTTATACAGCTTAACGTATACTTAATATGTTCAAAAGTTTATAACCTAACCTAACTTTACCATTTACTGCCGCGCTTTTGTAACACTCTATCGGTACATTCTTGTAACCTAACTTCCTTACTCGCAGCAGTATACTGCAGAAATTTTTAATTAGTGCAACCTCTTTTATTTGTCTGAGCAGTGTTTTCTCCTCTTTGCCGCTTCCTCTTCCTTTTCTTCTCCCCTTTCTGGGTCTCAAGCTTGTTATGTCTATTTTCCTTTTCTTTCTCTTTCTTTTTCACCTTTCCTTCTCACTCTTTCTCATTTTTCCTCTCTACCTCTTTCATTCAAAGTAAATCTCAAAAAAGCATACTTTTATAATAATCATATATAATATAGTTTTATATATTCAATGCATAACTAATTTTACAAAACGTTACGTTGCTCTTTAGACTGTTATAATTTCTATCGCAATTTTTTAAATGATTAAATTATTAATTATTGAATTTAATTATTAAGCGTAATAAACGCGAGGTATCGGTATAAAAGTGTACAAAAGTATGGGAATTGATGTAGGAATACGATTACGCGTAGTAGATAACAAAACAAAATTATAAGAAAGATAAACGGAATATGAGATAGATTAGACGGGTAAACAAAGGATGTTTTATCGCGCGGCACGGCAGGTATGTAAGTTCTCATGACCTTCGCGACGCATAAATACATAGCGCGTTCGTACTCGTAACAGTTTTGGTCACATTAAGTGCGCGACATCATCTTTTATTACCAATTATTGTAAATTGATCAAAAGTAATCGTAAGTACTTGCATGTCTATGAATGATAAACATTAAATAATAGCCAATAATGTACTGATCTCCGAATATACGTATATAATACTACTACGTGACGAATGGTGATCACTATCTTCTATTCCCATTCAGCATAAAAGTATAAATAAAGTATAAATAAAGTATAAATAAAGTCGGCAGCTTAGTGTTCTTAATTTTTCGGGACAATGCTAATCTTCCATCACTGTGTTTAATTGGGCAATCTATAATTTTTGTTTCAGATCTGGTGCGGAGCGTGCGACCTTTCAATAGAGTGGTTGCAGATGCAGCACCGGAGGTGCCGGTTCAGGCTGTTCAAAGTCGGCTCGAAGGTAGATTCTATTTTGTTGTCCACTATTTGATCCTTCACGGTCGAAAATGAATTCCTAAATTTAATGTGCAAAATAATTTTTCTTGTTTCAGAATTGGTTAGCAGCCGTGGTCGACTTTGATTTCGTGAGTGAAAGAAAACAAAGATTTTAGGTGATGGTTTTATTTTCGAGAAATATCGTTAAAATTGATGCGATTTACATTAATAGTTTACATTAATAATTTTGCATGTTAGTTTCTGCATGTTTATAAACATGCACATACTGTTGAACGAGATATGGTGGTATGAGAATCTCTTGATTTTCTTGCAAAGATTTCTTGAAAATATTTGATAAATATATTGTTCTAATTTAAAAATTAGTTAAATATCGATATGATTGTTATAATTAAATTATTTTGTCATAATTTACAAAGTTAAATATATAGTATTCACAAAAATCTGTTTTAACTTCTATTTTACATTTTTTGAATGTTACTTTCATATATTTTTCGTATTATCATGGTTCTCAGAAATGAAGTTGAAAGACAAATGGAACATGAAATACGTAATTCATATTATTGTTTTATACCACTATTTCGTTTTGCGGTTTTCCTGACGTAATTGTTAGAATATCGTCAAATAAAATTCGACGTTTAAATTTCGCCAAATATGTGGCGAGACTGTCACGTGTCAGGTTTCGTATGTCGGTACGTGCAATTTGCGGTAATTTTGCTCGTGACTAATAATATATTTCGTAATTTCCGCGGTGTTTAGTCTTTCTATATCATTAATATAATTTATGTTTTATAACGTTCGTGTGATCGTATAACTGCCGCGAGTACTAGTTTTCGCTTTTTTATATATGCATACATTCGCGTTATTATATAATTGCATTTTCTCCGATTACATATGTCAAATAAATATAAATTTCACTGCAGTTTTTTTTTCGAGAACGCGTCTGTAGATTTCACAGTTGTTAAAAAAAAATTAACATTTTTTATCTCCGATTTTACGGCCGTTCAGATATATTCGACGGTAATGTTTGATATTCGCGATTTTTTGATCGTGTCATAATTACGCTTCTCAGTCACGAATACGTCGTTAATTGAAATTTGTTAATTGAAATTAATTGAAAGTAGTTTGTTGAAAACAAATTTCGCGGCGATATCGCGGAATAGGCTTCGAAATTACGTTGCGGAGTTGTCTCCGTTCAAATATTGCGGAGAAGATATTCGCACAACTGTTGCGATGTAATCATCGCAGAAGCAGCGCAAATTGATTTTCGCTGAATATGGCGAAAGCGTTACGCGTGAAAATATCACGCTACTCATGATTATTTCGTTCGGATGCTGCGTCGCGAAATATTTCGCGATTGGTCTTAGATCTGTAAATTTTTACACGTGAATCGCGTCGTGTCTCATAAACATTTAAACAAATTGTGAATTTGCAAAATAGAAATCTCATTTTCCAAGTAAAATAATCCGCGAAGCGGAACTTCATTTTCGTGATTTTCGGTAGATTTGTGACTTTTTACACGTAACTATCGAGTCGCGATCGTATCGTTGGAACAGTATGGTATACTAAATGTATTTTTATACTGCGATAGACATTCGCGAAACAATTGCAAGTTTCGATTTCGTCTTTCGATTTCGTCGTAAACACGAATTGGTCAGTCGTTGAATATTTGTCGAACGCCGTTCAAAATATGACTATCGCGTCGCGAGTATAGTAAAGTGAAGTGAAGTGAAATGAAGACGTACTGCGCTACGTCGACGTTGAACGACACGCAGAGGAGTTGGATCCTGCGAAGTGCCGAATCCTGCGGAGAGATGTAATCAAGGATGCAGCACGGAACTCCGCCAGTGGATTGCATCACTGGTGAGCGAACACTTTCAATGCTCATGAAGCATCATCTAATATAATGCATGTGTAGAAGTAAATCGCATCGATTTTTGACGAAAAATATAAAGGCTGTTATACACTGCTGTTTAAGAAGATAGAGGGAGAGGTATGATTACTCTGAATAATGTAATATACGTAACAGCTACAGTGCATAACGGTTTTTATTTTTACGCGTATATTATTTGAACATGTATAATATTACGATTTACGATTTCAACTGTTTTTATACATGTTTCTGTCTACATGTTTCTATATTATATGCTTCTATATCATGTGTACATTATACTTATATGTGCAACATATCTCTCTGTTATATACTTTCTTATCAACTCATGAAATTTTTATAAAAATTGTTCGCAACACATTTAGGGGGGCATTTTTGTATACTTGATACAAATAACCGCGAAAAAAGAGGAAGTCTTTGAAATTACATTAGAGTCTTGTTGGCTGTCCACGCTGCGAAGTCGTTAATATCCTTCTACGTCCAAACACTATTCCGCCGGTCCTCCGCGAATACAAACGATCCGTTGCACCACGATGCATTCGCACGTCGGGTCCAGCACTTTCGTTGCCGTTACGCGATCGACCATCGATTGTTGGCTGACAGTCGCGCCCGCGGATTATTTCCGGACTCACCTGGGATTTCGAGACAATTTCAGTCATAAATCCACGCCGCCATTTGTCTCGCGAATTAAGTTTGCTCTCCTTTTTTCCCATATTCAACGACGCCGTTTGCTCGGTACAGGGAGTGCCCCGTTTTACCCTCTCCTTCCTCATCTCTCCCCCGGCCCTCTTGTCCTTTATTCTTCCCCCGATCGAGAGGAGTGAGAACGAGTGAGACGGAGGGGAGAGAGGTTAGGGTAGGCGGGGTGGGGTTGCAAGCGAATTGATATCGGCTCGTTTCGCGTGGGACGGCACGAAGCGCTTTTTGCGTCGAGCCAGTCGAACGAATGAATTATCTTTCCGAATCGTTAATCTCCCGCGCAACGAAATGAAACGTTGGAACACGACATTCTCGCCCCCTTTTCGGCCGTTTTTACGGGAGCTCGCGCGCCCCTACGCCCACATAGGGGTGGTTGACGATGTTAACGACTAGCACCACGAACGAACGAGAGCTCGCGCGAACTCCTTACCATCGCGCGACAAGCGATAATTATTTTTACGGCTTGTCTTATGAAGATCGTTCGCAATCTCGGATTTTCCTCCCTACAAGCTAATGCTGTGGGGGAGCGCCGTTATGTTATTTCGCGCTACCATAACCTAATTAAAAGCTGCTCTTTATCGCATAGACCGTGTAATTTACGTTACACATAAATAACTCTATATAGAAACGGGTAAACACGTAAAAAGACACGGCGAATCTTACAAGTAGTTTATGTAGGCGCGATATATCGAGAATATTCCAAATAAGTACGTTAAAAGCTGGAGATTAGAGGGTAATAATTTCTCGCGACTCGCTCGCCACACTTTAATAATTCAGTCACAATTTAAACGGTTTAAGTCCCAGGCCTTTGCAGGTGCAAATACGCGCGTTTGCGTTTCCTCCTCGCTAAAGTAGAAGCAACTCGTCGCCCAACTCATCGCCAGGCCGGCGCACATAAACGTACGAAAACGATTACGCGAGCGTTCCGAACAACAAACTCATTTATTATTAGCTTAACGCCGTATCTCGTGGCGCACCTCGTCGCGGCTGGAACGCCGCCATGATATTACGATATCATTATAGTGGGTACGATTGACTAAATCGCTCCCGGGTCCTCGTAACTCGGGATTAGGACCCGGGGAGCGAGCTTAGATAGGTTATTACATTGCGTTACGAAACCGTAAATCGCGTCACCGACCCGCGCCGCGGACGGCCGGGAAAACTGCGAGAGTAATTGCTCTTCGCGATTCCTAGGGAAATTCCCCTCTTACCGCTCGCCGACATCGGGACTGCCCGCGTAGACAAACAATAATAACGTTCTTGCCGAAGCAGGGCGGAGAGCCAAGGAAAACACGTCGCTGAGTGAAATACACTTACACATACTCGGGGGATGGAAAATTTATTAATATGTCCGGCATAATGGAACGATCGCTGGAACATTGTGCTTCGAGCAGGAGGCAACGAAAATTTTGATTGTATCGTACATGTCGAATGAGTTCTCCCTGCGTCACGAGGCAGGTTCATTTTTCGCTAATACGTACCTTGCTTGCACAGATTATACGAAAGAGGTCTCAGGCCACCTTGATAATCGTACGAATTACGGTTACTAACAAGCGTTCTGCCTTTCCGGAGGATATCGCTGCATACGCTAGGAAGCGAGATACTTTTACATCGTGCGCGTGCGTGCATGTTAGTATCGCTAAGTACGATAAGTTGGAAATGCAGCAGCAGCAGCTGTAACAACGTTTTATCTGCAGTACATTTACGGCGGGTTTTACGATAGTAGATCTTTGTTTTCGCGAGCACTCTCCTTCCTCGAGTCGAATGATGAGGAAAGGGCGAGGCGCGGATAAAAATTGAATTCGCTCTTGTTGTCGCTCTTTGTTCAGCTGTTTGATCGGTGCGTTAGTGAGTTAACGACAGCTTAACGACTATCTAGAGGGGAATTATTTTCGCATCCGACACCCTTTTTTCGCCAGTCAATCATGACCGCGCCATTAATCGAATGGAAAGACTGGATGCATGAAAAAATCAGGAAAATCTTGGCCCATCAGAATTAATTTCTTGTTGTGCCGTGATGCAGAGCGAAATTTGCGCGAAATTTCCAGCGGAAGCATAAGCTTGACGGTTTAAAGCTAAAACATTGTTTCAAAATTCACATAACAGGCGTGCAGGCGTTATTTGACATACTCGGAAAATATACAAATTTCATATATTTATAAAGCTCTCGATATGTGCATTTTGGAAGAAGCAATTACTTCGCGAGTGACTAATTAATCATAATCGTAGTTTATCGGTTCAAAAACGTTGACTCATGGCGTGACATGGTGTTCGCTATAGTACATGGCACCATGGCATGAAGCAACGACCGACCGTTAACCGTAAGAGGTTAACAAGTAAATTACAACGTGGACATTTGTCGGATTACGTCTGCACCATCGCGATTACCTGAGCCAATTGTCGCTTCACATGCAGGCTCCACGCAGGATTCACGCGTCGTTTCGGTACGTACTCGTAATTTTCTTTCTTGCGCGAAAACAGAATGGCCACGTGCGTCGCACGGGACCATCAAGACGAAACGATGCATCAGCGATAAAGGTCGCCGCGCTATCCCCGTAATACGATGTTCCACGAACATTTACGACTAATTGTTTCGCCCCGCGCGTCGTCACCGCAGATATCTCCTTTTTTTCGCGTGAAAGAACAACACACGTCCTGCCAACACACGCATCGTCGTAAAAGCGGTAGGACGTATAATACGTGGAAACCATCGGCAGTAAAAATTCGGCTGCGGCTAAGAGGTGGCTCGCGGACCGCGCGTTGTAAGGGGTGGAGGGAAGGGAAGGAACGATAATGGCTAATAAAAATCAGCTAACTGCTTGCAAGACATTGCCGCGCTAATTGCCATCGTAAATTTCTTCCCCCGATCGATGTTACATCGGCGTGACGCGAACGCTCGTGCCAACCGTAAATTAGCGCACTTGAAATATTGTCGGAGTATGGTCTCTCGGTGATTCTTTCCTGCAATGCCATTCTGGCGTGGCCATTCGGCAACTTCGAATTGTTCTAAAATGAGAAATATATCTCCCTTGATTAACGATCGTTACATTAGCGTCGCGTTTTTGGCTGTGGCTTTTTACGAGCGGTCGTGATTATTGATAAGATATAACGGATTACGTAGGTTATTATTTTATAAGAATGTAACAATAATTGCAAATAATTGCAATAATTTTTAAGCGTAGCTTACATCTAAGGCAGATCGAAATCAATTTGACATCTCTCAACTGAAATGTTCTGTATAATGACATTTTACAGAAGCGGCTTCATTCTACAAGCTCTTCATTCTCCTAGATATTTTTATTTTGTGATACATAAAGGAAAATGATATTGGTTACAAGTATATAATCGAGGTACACAATATGCCAATTCCATCATACTCGTTTATTGCTTACTACATCTACTTACTTATTAGAATTACAATTCTAGATACGTTATTTCCCCAATAGGAAAACATAAATTTGAATGGTGTCTCCATATCAAAACATTCCTAAATCTATAAATTTAAACTTGACTTGAAAGCAGCATGTAGATATTTTTAACAAACATACATTACTTCTTTTGGGCATAAAATACTAATATTTTGTGTAAATCTGGCGCAATCCTTTCATTTCCTCCGCGCGTGTATTTGCAGACAAATCTTTTGCTTGTCCATTCCCGTCCAAAGTCATCTTTAAATTGTTCTATTAAGTCTTGAGGCATGTTTCCCAAAAATAGTGTAATTAAAGATAGTAGCATATCTGTATTAAAATAATTAATAATTATTATAAAGTCACAGTTTATATTGGGTATGCATTAAATATTGATGTTTCGAATGATAATCAATTATTATAGGTGAAATCTGATACCAGCTAACATATTTTTAAAAATACATACGTGGCAATAGCTCAAAACTTCCAGCAGGAAAATTTCGCTCAGGACTTAGCCAAATTTCGCTTGCCGGATCTTTAAGGTGGGATAAGTCCTAAACGGTTGGTCGGATCGCTTTCGACCGTTATAATTTCTCTTAGAACTCTTAGAATGCTGTCCAAAACTACAACCTCAAAAACTCCTGAGAACTCTGAAAAAAATCTCGCCGGCGAGCAAAATTTCGCTAAGTCCCGAGCGAAATTTTTTTTTAGAGTTCTCAGGAGTTCTGAGGGCAGTTTTGGATAGCGTTCTAAGAGTTTTAAAAGAAATTATAACGGTTGAAAACGATCCAACCAGTAATTAAAAAGTTATTTGACGTCAAAGCTTTGTTACGGTAATACTGTTAGTAATTATTTTTTAAACAATTCTGTGAATTTAATTTTTTTCTTGTATCAGGAACTCTAGAACTCATCGAAAGAAATCAGATAGATCAATCAGAACTATTCGAGCTTGATATTCAATTTTTCGAAATTTTTAATTTTTTGGGAAAAAATCGGAATATCTTTTTATCTATCAGGAATTCTAGTACTCGTCAAAAGACATCGAATGAGCTACTCAGAACTATTCGATCTTGAAGTTAGGTGTGAAGTTAGCACCCCATTTTTTAATTGCTATTAGGAGTACAAATAAGTTTCCGCCGTTTTCTATGAAAAATTAGGAATTTATTGTGAAAGAACAGTACATTACGTTTTATTCAAAGTATTGTCCATCACTAGCCACTACTTTTTCCCATCTTTCTGGCAGCATTCGGATACCACATCGGAAGAACTCTTCATCTTTTGAGGCTATCCACGAATCGACCCAATTTTTAGTATCTTCATATGATGTAAAGCGCTGCTTAGACAGGCCATGTGTCATCAACCGGAACAAGTGATAATCGGAAGGGGCAATGTCTGGTGAATACGGCGGATGGGGTAGGATTTCCCAATTGTGTTTCCAAATAGGTTTTGACCGGTTTTGCAACATGTGGCTGAGCGTTGTCATGTAGAAGAATAATTTTGTCGTGTCTGGAGTAGTAATGGGCGCGTTTTTCCTTGAGTGCTCGGCTCAATCTCATTAATTGTGTTCGGTAGAGAGCTCCAGTAATGGTTTCGCTCGGTTTGAGCAACTCATAATACACGACACCAAGCTGATCCCATCAAATACACAGCATAAGTTTTTTTCCATGAATATTCGGTTTGGCTGTCGATGTTGAAGCATGGCCAGGTGGTCCCCATGATTTTCTCTTCTTTGGGTTATCGTAGTGGATCCATTTTTCATCACCAGTGACTATACGATGCAAAAAAACCCTTACTTTTATGCCTGGCAAGCAGCATTTCACACGTGCAAAATCGGCGTTCAACGTTTCTCGGCTTCAGTTCATATGGAACCCAATTTCCTTGTTTTTGAATCATTCCCAAAGATTTTAAACGATGTGAAATTGCTTGTTGAGTCACTTCTAATGTAAGTGCAAGTTCTTCTTGCGTTTGGCACGAATCTTCCTCCAATAATGCTTCCAATCCCGTGTCTTCGTACACTTTCGGCCTTTCACTACGTTCTTTGTCTTCCACGTTAAACTCATCGTTTTTAAACTTTTGAAACCACTCACGACAACTTCTCTCACTTAAAGCAGTCTCACCATATGCTTCTACAAGCAATCGATGCGCCTCAGCTGCAGATTTCTTCAAATTAAAGAAGTAATCAAAAGTTCCCGCAAATGACGCTTATTCGGCACAAAACTTGACATTTTCGCACGAAAAAAATTATGTGATGCTGATACGGAGTCACTAATACTTCAAGGTTATGTTGTTATCAGATGTCCAAACTTATGATATTACGTTTTACATCTTACAATTTCAACATAACCTTCTGACGGGGCCATCTTTTGTCAAACGGCGGAAACTTATTTGTACTCCTAATATAATACTGTTAATCGCCGGAACTCTTTTTATTAATATGAAAGAACTCTTATACTCTTCAAAAGGAAGCTAGAACTCCAATCAGAACTATCGAGAACTAAAGTTGGGATGTTAACTTCACATACCCAACATGTAGATAATTTGCAAAGTAGTGAAGAACGCAAGATATGCTTAAGTATCTATATCTTTCCCAAAAATGTTTTCCTAAAACGCGGTATTTAACTTTCCGCAGAGAGGTCAGACGATGTTATACTTCACTAATTGATTCAGATACGTACCGTTCTAAAATATATTGTGCATATTTGTACATTGTGCTTACATTGTGCGTTTTTTCTATACGCTAACTAACCGAATAAGATCGTAGAATGAAATATATACAAGTCGCAGGTCGTCACCTCGCAGAGCAGATGATCCCTCGTAGCAAAAAGTTCATCCGTATATTATCAAGCGACGAGAAAAATCGAGGTTATCGAGATACAGTAATCCAGAATCGCGGTCTCTCCGCTGCACAGCATACGCGAGAGTGATTTTTGCAGAGACTAGCAGTTTCTAGAATGCTGATTTGTGTAGGAGATATACGACTTAAATACACGAGTTATAAATTTTGAAAGAACATTTTCAGCTTTAACGATGTTTACTTGCGACGTGGTGTATATGTGTTTGCGTGCGTGCGTGCGTGCGCGGGCGTGCGCACACGTGCGTAGTATGTGTGTGTGTGTGTGTTATGCCTTATTAAAGTTCTGTAATAAATTGATAATATTTTCCATTTCCATTGTTGCTTATGAATGTACGATTACAAATAATGCTCTCATAGGCATTTCTACGCAATGTTTTGCTTTCGTAACTGACCTTTTGCAATTCTCAAGGTTAATACTACTTCGTTAATTATACTCACTTTAATTAAAATAATCTTTTAGTTGGCAACTTGTGCTATTTTATGGTTCATAACTGTCGTCCAAATCTTCCTTAATCATACGTCATACTTCTTTAACGATCTCATTTATCGAACACGCCCACATATGAAATATGTTGCGTTGTTGCATTCGGTTTATCTTCATGTTGAGTCAAGTGTATCTACATGTTGGGTCAATATGTATCATGTTATCGTAGGAATATGATTATATTATAATGGAAGGACATCTCTGATTTTATGTAATATATGAACAAGTATTTTATTCAATTGTCTCATATGATTCTTAATATTCATATCAGTGGTATGCTTATACCTTTTAGACATTCGTTTCTAAAGTTATCTTCATTCCTATTATAATTTCGCATATATTAACAATTTTTTGGACAAAATTTAAAAAGCATTGAACGCCAAGTTTATCAATATAAAATAAGAGATAAATTTTAAAATTATATTGTTGATGAATGTAGTGTAGAAAGCGTGTACTATATACGCCACGCTGCGTTGTCAAATTATTGCTCATGTTTATCCTACGTTTTGTTAACCTTTAGCAAAAGAATGTTAATTTTGCATATTACTATGGATTGATATATTGTTTATTTGCGGTAGAAAAATGGTACTGGTTGCAAATATACAATCGATGTACATGTTATGTTAATGCCAACATACTCATTTATTGAAACTACATCTACCTATTATAATTATAATTCTTCAGTACGTTATTTCTAAATAAGATAAACGTATAAACTTGAATGGTGTCTTCGTATTCTCAAAGCATTACTAAATCCACAACTTTAAACTTAACTAAAGTAGCTTGTGGAGTAGCGCGGTAATTATAATGGTAAAGAGTAAATAAAATGTACTTTATTTTGATATAAAGACGAACATCAACGACACTGCATATAAACGCATATTTTTTACCAGGATATATCATTAATTCTTTTGTGCATAAAATACTAATATTTCATGTAAATCTGCCACCATCCTTTCATCTTGTCCGCGCGTGCGTTTATAGACAACTCTTCTTCTTGTATTTTCCTGTGAAAAATCCTTTTTGAATTGTTCCATTCGCTCGTGGGGCATGTCTTTCAAATATTCCGTCAGGAAAGATAGCACCATAGCTGTGTTGAAATAATTAATAATTATTATAAAGATATAGTTTAAGCTGGATCTATATTAAATATTGGTACTACAAATGATAATAAATTACTAGAGATTACATCTGTCACCCGCCAACACATTTTTAAAGATACATACGTGAGAATTTGTGTTGAGCATCTTCAGCGAGGTATGTTCTTTCACGATAACTGCAGTGAAGTACATTAAAGCCAATACTTTTGAGCAATGTTTTTAATTCTTTTTGTGGTTGAAGAGAGTTGTAAAACGGCGGGATGAAATGATTTATATGCTATGCAAACACATAAGAAATATTGAACAATTTGTTATGATAAATATTTGCGAAGGAATATAAGCAATAAAAAAGTATATAGGTAAAAGTTACCTTTATATATGACTTGTAGCGTACATCTTGCGACAATTTGTGTAAGACATCAAATACGTCCTGAGACACGATTGTTAGTGCTAATACAGTTCCGCCAGGTCGAAGTAAATTATAGATATTCTCAATTGCTTGTCTATTAGATGAAAGAAGTATATTTAATATTTGGAACACATGCTTATTGGAATATATTGGTACAAGTTTTATCAACAAATTATAAAAATAATTATAAATGGTGAAAATTATAAAAATGATGATGGATAGATGTGAATAATTAAATTATATAATACTTTCTCGAATCAGTTTATCCATTTCAATTTATATCCGTATTTCGTTAAATATCTATCTTACCGAATATCTTGGCACCAATGCAGAACATAAAATGCGAATGCGTGATCGTACTGAGAAATATATTTTTTTGGCAGCTCTTTTGTTTCAATATCAAGTATGTCGAAATTGAGTCGTATCTCATCACCGTATACTTTCTTGGCGTGTGTAATCATACTCTCCGAGATATCCGTACCTTCAAACAAATCGTACTTGAATGATAAATCTCGTTAACATACATATATGATATTTTAGCAATATATTATTTTCATACCAGTGACTACCGCTTTTGCGTCGAGTGCGGGTAGGAGAATATCTTTTGTAGTGTCACCGGGACCACAACCAATGTCCATACACTTTCCCGACATACATTTTATTTCTTCTTCAAACTCGTCAAATAAGGGCCGTATGTAATACCGTGACATGTTCATTTGGCTATATTCCGACGGATTTACCATGTTGGATTGAAAATACTAATTCATATGTTATTTCAAAATATTATCTCCTTTCTCTACTTCTCCTTTGTTCTTCACTTCTCAGTAATTTCGGATAATGTTTCGGGAAACAAACAGATGCCTCTGAAACATAAAATTCTTGTTGAATTTATGCAGTGCGTATCATGACATATATATACAATCGGGTAAAGTAGTCTGTATATACAATGAATATTGTATACTGACGCCACCTGCAAAACATTGATTGCCAAGAATTACTCGATGTTCACTCTCGCTTAAGATATAATATTAATCGAAAAAATAATGGGTTAGATGAGATTTTGCAACACCTTGTCATAACAAAATGCGAAGTTGTTAAACGTTATGCATGAAAATTTATTTTTGCAGAAATACTACTTTACAGAAACAATATATAAATTTACTGCAAATTTATGCAAAAAATTGTCGGTCGCTTTTCCAATTATTTGTGATAACATGTAGATAATTTGCAAAGTAGTGAAGAACATAAGACACGCTTAAATATCTATATCTTTCCCAAAAATATTTTTGCTAAAACGCGATGTTTAACTTTCTGCAGAGAGGTCAGACGATGTTATACTTCACTGATTGATTCAGATACGTACTGTTCTAAAATATATTGTGCACAGGTGAGTTCTTAAGAAGATTTGAAGGTGGCAGCTGCCAGTTGAAACACAAATTAACGCTTACTCTGTACAATAACGTCTCTTCTATACGCCAACTAACCGAATAAGATCGTAGAATGAAATATACTAAGTTACGGGCGAGCGCGCCAGCGGCGTAGGCGTGCTGGACAATGATATAAGTCGCAGGTCGTCACCTTGCAGAGCAGATAATTCCTCGTGGCAAAGAGTTGATCCGTATATTAGCAAATAATGATGAGAAACATCGAAATGATATTTAACAAAATCGCGATCTGTCCGTTACTGGTATGAGAGTGATTTTTCCAGAGATGAGCAGTTTCTAGAAATGTGATTTATAGAGGATACACAACTTGGATATACATGTTATAAATTTTTAAAAGGACATTCTCCTTTGACGATGTTCATTCGTGATGTAGCAATCATATATGTGTGTATGTGGTGTGTGTGTGTGTGTGTGTGTGTCTGTGTGTGTGAATGTGTGTAGCACACCTTATTAAAATTCTCTAATAAAATGTTAATTTTCTGCAATTCCACAGTTGCTTGTAAATGTCCGAATGAAAAACAATGCTTTCACTGGTGTTTACGTATTGTTTGGCATTCGTAATTGATTGCATTTTGTAATTTTCAGAGTTAAAACTATCAACTATCAACTATCAACTATACTTAACACATCACTCAATAAGTTTGTAGGATGACATATAAATGGCGCTACTATTGACAAATCCATATAATTTTTAGGAAGTATTAACCTTCAAATGATACGTGTCAAAATTTCATGACAATCGGACATTTAGTTTACAAGTTACAGTGGTTTTAGTGACGCACGACGTCGACTCGTTTTAGCAAGGCTTCAGTTTCGGCAACCACTTCTTCATCGGAGCCAAATCTCTTTCCCTGGAGCTTTCCTTGCCGATTTGATTCTAGAGTGTAGTGAGATCCATGTTTCATCCATTGTCACATATCGCATCAAAAAATCCTAACCACTGAACTAAACGTCCAATTGTCATGAAATTTTTGACACGTATCATTTGAAGATTAGTACTACCTAAAAATCATATGGATTTGTCAATAGTAGCGCCATTTATATGTCATCCTACGAACTTATTGAGTGATGTGTTACATTATTCAAACCAATCTCTTAATTTGCAGCTCATGTTATTCCGCAACTCAACTGACGTCCGTATCTTCGCTAGTTATATTTATTTCTTTACTAATCTCTCATCATTTATCAAACATGCGAATATATCAAATGCGTCCTAGTATTCGATTTATGTGCATGCTAAGTCACGCGTATTTATTAATACATCTCATATTATCGTATTTACATATCATATTATGTCTCATATCTATCATAGAAATTTGATTAAATTACGATAGAATATCTTTGATTTTACGTAATATATGAACAAATGTTCAAAATTATTAAGTTAACAAAAGTTAGGGCACTATTATAGTAATATATTCTTGATAGTATTGTAATATGTAATATAGTAATATATTCTTGATAGTATACAATAAATAAAGTAAAAAAGTCTAATACTATTTTTTCTTTCGACAAATAGTTAGTGAGATATCGTAAGGTAAATGTTGAAAAAGTTACCAAGTTTTCCTTAAATATCTCAAAATATATTAAGCAAATAAAAAAATATTTCAGACAAAAGTTGTTCAAATTAATTGATAGAAAAAGATGATATAATAAAAAGTTAGGATTTCCATTTAAGAAAGTTGATGATCAGTGAATATCTCGAAAGTGGAGCCATCTATAAACAAAATGCTATCGCTGTCTTATGTCCCCCTTTGAGTCAAACAACTTTTGTCTTAAGCATTTTTCGACTTAACGCAGTGTTTCTGAGATATTCGAGTGGGCCCTTTAAAATGGGACACCCTGTATGTAAACTTGGCAGGAGTTGTAAAAAATTTAGTGCTATAGAAACTCTATATTTAAATTTTCTTTGTACACATTTTAATCCTCTTAAGGATTTAAGATCTCGGACTTCGGAACTATCTGTTTAACCCAAGATGGGCTTCGTTACTTTACTTGCTAATGTGATTTCGTGTTATCGACCTAACAATGTGGTCTCCGCAATTCATGGTCTTCTCTGCTAAAGCTACCGGGCTTTCCTTGTTTCTCCTTCTTCGACGTATTTAGTCGATATATATTATGTACATCTTATGTCCTTCATGAAATTTTAAATTGAAGTTACTCTTTTGTGTACTTATATAAATATATTATAAATTATTATTTTTATAAATCTTATTTTGTAGAAACTGACCAACGTTAATTATGTACATAATAATTATATATACAATTAACATTGGTCAGTTATATACATACATTTTAGTTATATACATACATAGTTATGTACGTACATACAATTTTTTTATACGTAGGTCTTCTCTTTATCGGTTCGAATTTTATGTACGTATCTTGTTGCTTTTGGCACGACTAATACAATACCCTAGTTCCATAGTCTTAATCAGCAGAGTTCTAAATCTGAGTATTACAATACTTCATGCTATTAGCATTCTTCATATACATATAATACTATTGCGTGTCGCGCGCTTACTAAATGTTACATAAGGAGCAACAATTAGAGCACGGTTACAATTGTATAAATACTTGTACAAAAGTGTCATCTGTTGAAGAACGGGTAAAACATACTAGTATTCATACGAATCAATATTCACGATGGTAAACACTATACAACATACTTTCACCCGCGTGGGTTCTGGTCTAAGCTACAGTAAATTATTTTCTTAATTCAATTTGATTTAATTATTCCAGATTAAAATTTTTACATTTCATTTGTTGCAATTTATTTCTATTGTGAACAACTCAATTAATTTGAAATTCTAAATTATAGTGAAAAAATTGCGAAGAGACGATAATATTTGATTTGAAAAATTGCGAAAAAACAATAATATTTGATTATTTATATATAATCAAGTATAAATATGTAAGTCAGTTGTTAAAAACGTGAGAGACTGATTGCGCGAATGATGTCATTCAAAAGAGTTAACTTCTTATCTTTTGCGAAAGACCAAACCACGCGAATTGAGCTTCATTTTCACATTTTGTATAATCGGAGGAGCAAGACATGCAGTAAATTTTAAGAGATACTTCTCGTATCGCCAGGAACTTCTATGAGTTTTCTTAAAATTTCTTGTCAAATTTCTCTGATTGGGAAATTTATTTTTCGCTGCTTATACACATATGGTATATTATGATCCTTCGTTATTTCATTGTGCATATATTTAGTTATATAGTCTAGGGTTAATTCTGTCCAAAAATTACATAAATTTTGTGATAGTGCTCTATAAAACCGTTGAATTTAGATTAGAGACTTTTCATGAAAGGGTTTGAAATTACTTTATCCTATATGACTTATGTATCGAAATAATTGAACGTTTCAATTGTCGTATCAGAGAACACGCAATCACCCGCACAAAATTGCGTTTCTATGTCTTTTCTTACAATTGAGAAGCTGACATCTACTTTTCTGTAAGATTTCAATCGTGCTCAAATTGCTTTTAAACGGCACAAGGGCATATTTTTACAGTTACACTAGATCGTAGTAATTGTCGCAATTGGCATTTTTCTTTTTTTTTTTTATTACGTTATCGTTTTTTTATTATGTTATCGCGATTCTTTGTTGTAAGACAACGCCTGCCGCTATGCATCTTTCACGCTAATAATTTCTAACGTGGCATGAAAATGTAGTCACGGAAACCGCGATTGGTAGCCCCTCTACGTCGCTCCTTCACAAGTAGACACGGAACGGTACTTACTTCAATAAGCTATATGCTCTAGTAGTCATATGGGTTCGCGTGGCGTGTTCCTGTCTGTCCGCTTGATTAACTTTTGTTATGTAACAAAATAATCATAGATATCGCTCGCTTGAAATGGATCCCGTTCATTTAACAGTATCGTTATTCAATCAGCTACTGCTGGCAAGACCATCCCGGCGATGTTGTATTAACACGTGCGTTTAAGTGTCGCGTGAACATGACATGAGTACCCGTTTAGGAAATATTTTTATCTGTTTGCGTAATTGTAATCAGGAAAGAAACAAATAGGTTTTAACACTGAGTTACTAGCGATAATATTATCGCGCTATATTTTTGCAATGTTCTGTGATATTGCGTGTGTTATAATTATTATGGTCACTTTAGCAAACTCCATTGTTTCTGTTACGTCCTGGAGGAGGAACGCAACTTGACGCTTGCTTTCGCAAGCTCCGACGTATATTACAAACCCGCGGTGCAGATCAAGGATCGGAATGACCCCTTTATCTGACGCGGATGTACGTCGGTGGTCCTTTATTTAGGTCAAGGAACTGAATCCTTTTACCTGGGATAGGACCGTGAGTGACAGTTGAGGAAAGGGAGAATTTTTGTGTCGTAAATAATTAGTTGGACAAAAACGAGATTGGCTTAGAATTACAAATAACTTGTTTTATTGATGATTAAGCGGGTTCACAATGAAAGAGAATTTGTAAGATTTATAAATGTGTACGTATACATATATGTACAAAAAATCGCGGTCTGAGCAAAATTCCGTGTTCGTTATGTCCGATTGAGATCGACAAGATTGAGCCACTGACACCGGATTTCACAATTAAGGAGACATACCAAGGGGGATAGAGAAAAGGAAGGAAAAGGAAAAGAAAAGAAAAGAGAGAGAGAAGAAAAGATGAAAAATAAAAAGAAAGGGCCACTCAGGCAAAGGAAAGTATAAATAATTTACTGCTGGTCCCAGAGAGAGGGCGAGCGAGAGCAACCAAAAGAAAATGTTGCTGGTCTGCGTGGATGGGCAGCGCTAGCTCTGTCGCTTCCGAATTTCCAATTCGTCAACGATGTTATGATGCACACGACTGTGTTCTCTTTTTTAGGCAGTGGATAATAATTAAACTTGGAAAGAACGTCTAGACCAACTCCACGTCTAAATGCCTGAGTGTAAAAATTAAACGCCAAGAGAAAGATCTCTGGATGCCGAACTTGTGGTTCTAACTCGGATGCTGGTCAGGCGAATAATGTGCTAGCCTTTTCATTTTACTTAAAACGTCACCTCGGTTGAGAGGATGCAGTTGTGGAAATTGTGTCAGAGGTCTAAGGTCTATGTCCATCTATTAAAACTCTGATGTTAACATTTTCGGAGGTGGGGTTTTAGAGTTGCGTCAAGGGTCCAAGGTTTATTAGAACTTTTCCAGAGGTGGGATTTTGGAGTTACGTTGCATTGTTGTAAAAGATGAGATATCTATGACGATAGGAGATTTAGTGAGAATTACTGGGTAACTGCGGCGTTTTTACGCTTTAAAACGTTACCCCTTCTTCATTAGCTCAGAATTG